ATAAATGATTGTTATTAGGCCGATAATTAAGTACCATGTTCGTGTTGCATGCATTACTCGTTTTTTTTTTAATCAAAAATCAGTTTTTTCATATAAGGAAGAGAGACCGTGATCCAAAAATGGCCCCATTCCACGGTAATTATTTAGGTAGGTGCATTCAATTATTCATATTAAAAGAATTATTTTCGAAATGATTTTATGATCATTTATAATTTGATTTTTTTAAAAAAAAAATTGAAAATTTCAAGTTTTTATTTGTAAAAATTAAAATCTCTTATAAAAGTTACATGAAACTATAAACAAAATTTATAAAAGACTACAAAATCAAATTTCCCCAAATTCTTGGATTTATATCTTAGTTTACTGTAAAGATATAATATATAAACGTGCTTTTTAATTTAGACTCAGCTGACATCTATGTCTTTCAACTATAGGTGTGCACAAAAAGGCACTTAAACTTGTATAAATTTGACAAAAAGACATGTGTGTCCTAAGTGACATAATACATATTAAACGCCATATAAGACGTCATATGTGTATACTTGTTCAACTTCATATAAGTTTAAGTGTCTATTTCATGTGCATATTCAAAGTTTAAGAACATAGATATCAACTGAGACCAAATTAAATACTACATATTTATATGTGTTACTTGAGGGGTGGGGGTGGGGGTGGGGTGGGGGGTTCCTACTTTTGGTCACCGACCCATGCACATGAATCTTGAATTTTCTGATTAATCCTGAGGAATTGGAAGTACATGTACACGTTATCTAAGACAAAAATACACAAACACACTAGTGATCGGTCAGTCGATCGAGCCCTAATTTCCAAACACGTTTTTTTGGTTACCTCCCGAAAAATAGGAATAAGCTATCCCCATATCAAGTAATAATAATGTAATGAAGAAACAACTCGTTTCTTGATCTTACAAGTAATGTCTTCATTTTGGATATCCCTTTATTCAATTATTTGGATTTATAGTATGTTTGACCAAATTTATAAGTTGTTTTAATTTTTTTTAGTTTCAAGATTTTATTGAGTTGTTTAATCAAGGTTTTAGAAGAAAAAAAAAACATTTTAAAGTATTAGTTGAAGTTGAAATTAAAAAAAATTCAAAAGTATTTTTGATACCTTGATCAAACACAAATTACTACTTTAATATAAACAAAAATATATTTTATAATTTTGACAAAAGGTCTTTTAGTCACGTCCTTGTAGGATTACAATTTTTAATTCCATATACGAGGCATATTAGGGTAGAATGTTAGTAGGGGTAAAGAGTTATCTTCTCTTGCGAAGGTTTTGGTTTGTTAGTACATGTCGTAGTACTAGTCGTACCGGCATTGTAATTTTTGTCATATGTTATTTTTTGTATTTCGATTATCACACTAATATTTATTTCTTGTAGACTTTACACTGGTTTTCTTATTCACTTCTATGCGTTCTCCGTTTTTTTCTTCTTCTTTTATTAGGTTTGATGCACTTCATGTGCCAAGGGTCTGCAATCTGCATACACTCTATTCTTTCCAAACCCACTTAGTCAATATGTTATTGTAATCGAACAACTTTACTTTATTCTTTTACGTAAAATTGGATAAATAAATCTAGGCTTTAATTTTTCCTCTATTATGGGAGAAGATTGTACACTTTGGTACAATGCAATGCAATAAACGAGTATGTACTAGTGCATGAATCACTCTGTTCAGAAGTTCAAAACAAGAATGAAGAAAAAGAACTCTGTACCTTAGGCTATTAGTGGTATATATATATATATATATATTTAGACTTTCGATCCTCATTGCTTGTCTATGGCTAAAGCGTTAAAGAATTATTCACAATATCTAACACATTTAATGACTATTCAACTAATAGTGACGACGATCTTTTAAAATAAAAGGGAAAATGGTTTGAAAAATATTTTAACTTTGGCCAAAATTGCTGTTATGATACCAAAATTTTATGGAGGATCTTTTACCCCCTATTTAATAGAATATTTTAAAGGTATATATGTGCCCACGTGGACACATTACTATTTAAAATGATGCAATATTTATGATGTCCACGTAATATACCTTTAAAATACACTATTAAATAGTACAAGAGGTAAAATGTCCTTTCCAAAGTTTGGTATCGTAACAACAATTTTGACAAAGTTGAAGTATTTTTCAAACCCATTTCTCAAAATAAAAATGAAAACTTAAAATTTTGATTAACTTCCTAACGATATTAAGGGATACAGATTTGATTTACGCTAGAAAAGGAAATGATATTACTCAATAATAAATTTGATTTAGAGTATAGCTAGGACTATAATTGTTTTTCATTATCTTTTCCTAAATTTTAATTTAAAAATCATGTTATTATCCTTTAATTTACCTGATGGTGTAAAATAATTTATACACTGATGGTGCACAAAATTTAAACTCAATATATATATATATATATATATATATATACACACACACTCAAGGCTGAGGGCTTAATAGAATCGATGACCTGAAATCATATTTCTATTGTTTCGCGATAGAAATTAGTTATGGCTTCAAATTAGCGATGAATTCCGTGGCAATTTTTTCTATAACTTTTTTCACTTAGTGGGTGTTTGGATTGACTTAAACGTTTGTCAAATCTACTTTAAAGTCAGTTTTTGACTTCTGAAAGTGTTTGACAAATATAAAAATAACTTAAAATAAGTTAGGAAGTGTTTGGCAAGTTCAAAAATAACTTAAAATAAGTTAAAAACCAAAAGTAGGTCTCCACGACTTTTTATTTTTTTACTTAAAAGTCATTTAAGTTTGATTTTTTATTTTTGACTTAAAAGCTACTCTCTCTGTTTAAAAAAAATGACCCACTTTCCTTTTTAGTCTGTTTAAAAAAGAATGACCTCTTTCTTTTTTTGGTAACATTTTAATTTCAGTTTTCCACATGGCATGTTAAGACCACATGATTAAAGGGCAATTTTGTACATTTGATATGACTTTAATTTAGGACTACAAAATTCAAAAGACTTCTTTATTTTCTTAAACTCTGTACCAAGTCAAACTAGGTCATTCTTTTTGAAACGGAGGACATACTTTTTTTTAAATCAATCCAAATGGGCTCTTAGTATGTCGAATGTAAATGAAATTAATTACTCCCTCCGTCCCATTTTATGTGACAACATTTGACCGGGCACGGAGTTTAAGAAATAAATGAAGACTTTGAAATGTTTACCAAATTGCCCTTTTAAAAAGTAGACTCAATTTCTCTCTCCTCATAAATGTATTGGAGTATTATTTTAAGATTAAGTGGGACCAACAAGGATAAAAAAGGAATTGTACCTTTAAATACTTTCCTTATAAGGAAATGTGACATTCTTTTTGGGACTGACCAAAAAGGAAATGTTGCCACATAAAATGGGACGGAGGGAGTAACACATTATTTGGAGATGTTAATTATTAAGAGATCCATGATATGTACAAAATAAAAATAACCTACCACCCACAGTAAAGATTTAAGTTAACCAAAGTCAAATAGTTAGTATATTGAATTTTACTAGTCTTGTAACCAATACAATTAGCTTCGAAAAGTCATTGATATATTTTCTATGTGCTGCTTGTTGGGAAACTTCCTGCAAACACAAAGAATGAATGAATTCTCCCACATTTTTATTTTGTAGCTTTAATTCCCTATTTGACACCAAAGTATTCTGAGGAAGGAATACAAGCCTAACCAAGACTAGGCCAATTAAGCAGCCCATGATAAGCCTCCTTTCAAATGAAAAATCAAAGCACTATATTATTATAGGATACTTGTGAATATATATTGTTCCGTCAAATAGTTTATTAATATATATGTTATACATATATAAGTATGTATATTAAGGGCTTGTTTCATCATGTGAGATGAAATAATGATATGAGATGACGAAGTTAGAGTTTTGCTTGAACATGCAATTTAGATTTTTAAGTAGTACTTTTTGTTTATAAACATAAAACTTTATCAAAACAGACTCAATTCTTTATACAATCTTACCAAATAAACAAAAATTCATAATCATAAAAATATAATTACACCATCACAAGATAGATATTCTAAATTTTTTTTACAACATATTTACTATAATCCTTCCACATAGTACAAACAATCTTCTCATGTTGGTAATAATAAATGAAGTAGGGGTTGGTTTTGAAGTAGTAATAAATTTTATTGGTGAGAGTAATGGTTATATCTGATATAAATGGTTTAAAGGTTGGTATGAGTAATAATATCAACTAAAAATTTTGTTTACATGTAAAATAAATGGTTAATACATAGAAGATTGTATAATTAAAAATTTCAAATTTCAATCATGAGATGAAATCATACACCCAAACATCTACTTAATATAAAATATTCACTATTTATGCAGTATGAACTTTATACATATTTTATAAACTAGATGGTTGAATGATCCGCCAGAAAAAATGCAACACGATAGAAAAGTTCGCTTCACCGCGTAAGATCCTCAAATCAAAATCAACTACGACTATCTCCGCCGCGTAAGATCCTCAAATCAAAATCAACCACGATTACTATCCGCGGTCCATTCTCTTTTTCTTCCTTGCCCTGTTCAGGGCAGTAATTATCCCTATTATTTATATATACTACTTGAAAAAGATATAAAGAAAAAATAATTAAATTACCAGTAGTACCATTGTATTCTCAACTTTTTTCTTTCTCACGTGTAGCTTCTAGCTTGAACATGAAATTTCATTTTTAACTTTTTAGACGCAAGCAATTACGACTAAATTAGTCAAATACCCAACATTAAAAAGAATTGGGAAAAAAATAGTAAGAATCGTAGATCTACTTTTTTCTTTTAATGGGTACTTTTATTTTTCAAGATTTTGAACATTAAAATAGACTTTTCTATTTTTATTTTTGTGATGTAATTCTTCTATACGTTAGTTGACATATTCTCATTAAACACTTCAGTCTTTCTCCCTATAAATATCCCTCACTCATGCCTTAATTCTCTTACCATAACACAACTACAAGAAACACATAATACTTTTAATACAATTAATTATTTATTAAAAGTATTTGAAGTTAAGCACTTGTGAGTTGTGTGCATTTTGTTAATTTTCATCTTCTTAATTCTGTTCACTTTTAAACTCATTTAGAAAAGAAAAAAAATGGGATTTGAGATTGCAAAGACCAACTCAATCTTGTCAAAGCTGGCTACTAGTGAAGAACATGGCGAAAACTCGCCATATTTTGATGGGTGGAAAGCATACGATAGCGATCCTTTCCACCCTCTAAAGAACCCAAATGGAGTTATCCAAATGGGTCTTGCTGAAAATCAGGTACTTCAATATATTTGCTTTTCTCTTTGTATTAAAAAAAAAAAAATGGCTTTTCATAGTTTGACCGAACAGACTATTAATTTTCTCTGAAACATCGTTTGCAGCTTTGTTTCGACTTGATAGAGGATTGGATTAAGAGAAACCCAAAAGCTTCAATTTGTTCCAATGAAGGAATCAAATCTTTCAAGGCCATTGCCAATTTTCAAGATTATCATGGCTTGCCTGAATTCAGAAGAGTACGTATCGTACTATAGTCAGTTAAATTACCCTGATAGTATAAAAATTCGTAAGTATATATAGCTAACGATTTTATATTTGCAGGCGATTGCAAAATTTATGGAGAAAACAAGAGGAGGAAGAGTTAGATTTGATCCAGAAAGAGTTGTTATGGCTGGTGGTGCCACTGGAGCTAATGAGACAATTATATTTTGTTTGGCTGATCCAGGCGATGCATTTTTAGTACCTTCACCATATTACCCAGCGTACGTATTTTTCATTTTATATAATTAAAAAAAACCATCAAATCATTTTGTATTTGTTTATTAGATAAATTGACTAATTTTTAAAATTATTATAAATTTATTTAATTATCCAAAAATATTCATTAAGTGGCTGAATAATATAAATAATTTAGTATACTCACGATGTATATAACTTAATCTACTCGGTTCCTCTGGGGAATTTGTCTTTTTATGTTGGTCGGTTTAACTTTGGGCCATCAGAAGAACATTCTGGTGAATTAATTAATTAATTATTAATAATAGATGTGTTTGTCATTCTTTTTTAAGACAATGAGAGTTTAATTAGTCTTAATTACGGGATTATCACGCAAGCTCTTTCTTGAATTTTATTATTCTTATATTAAAAGTGATTCATAATATCTTTCTTTAGTGGAATCCAGCTTGTTCGTGAAGCTTTGTATTCACACTTTAAAACAAAAAATAAATCTGGTTGTAATTGATTAAAGAGAGAAATATAAATACTGATAAAAACAATAGTCAAATAGACGAATAAGGAAAAAAATTAAAATACACAAAATACTAAAAAAAAGAACTAAGTTATAGTGGTCAATTATTGAGAACTTTTTAGAAGAGTTGATCCCCACTTTAATTTCTTGCTTGACCCGTGAGTCGTGACTATTGGTTATCGAGGTAAAATGAAATTTCAAACATTGACTATGACTTGTTAGAGAGTAATTAACACAAGTCAAGATTGTTACTCTTTCTCCTTATCTCATTAGAATTGGTAAAATAATGTCTGACATACCTTTTTTACTTTTATTTATTTTTAGTAAAAACACGTTAGCTTGGGAAAAAAAATCCCACGTGGGGGTGCATGTTACACAAGTCAATCGTTGCATATATTAATATATGTATTACTAAGTCCTAACTAACAATATTTTGGCAATTGACTAATGCAGATTTAACAGAGATCTAAGATGGAGAACTGGAGTACAACTTCTTCCAATTCACTGTGAGAGCTCCAACAATTTCAAAATTACTTCAAAAGCAGTAAAAGAAGCATATGAAAATGCACAAAAATCAAACATCAAAGTAAGAGGTTTGATTTTGACCAATCCATCAAATCCATTGGGTACCACTTTGGACAAAGACACACTGAAAAGTATCTTGAGTTTCACCAACCAACACAACATCCACCTTGTTTGTGACGAAATCTACGCTGCCACTGTCTTTGACACGCCTCAATTCGTCAGCATAGCTGAAATCCTCGATGAAAAGGAAATGACTTATTGCAACAAAGATTTAGTTCACATCGTCTATAGTCTTTCAAAAGACATGGGGTTACCAGGATTTAGAATCGGAATCATATATTCTTTTAACGATGACGTCGTTAATTGCGCTAGAAAAATGTCGAGTTTCGGTTTAGTGTCAACTCAAACGCAATATCTTTTAGCCGCAATGCTATCGGACGAAAAATTCGTCGATAATTTTCTGACAGAAAGTGCGATGAGATTATTTAAAAGGCACAAACATTTTACCAATGGACTTGAAGAAGTGGAAATTAAATGCTTGAAAAATAATGCGGGGCTTTTTTGTTGGATGGATTTGCGTCCGCTTTTAAGGGAATCGACTTTCGATAGCGAAATGTCGTTATGGAGAGTTATTATAAACGACGTAAAGCTCAACGTCTCGCCTGGATCATCGTTTGAATGTCAAGAGCCAGGGTGGTTCCGAGTTTGTTTTGCGAATATGGATGATGGAATGGTGGATATCGCGCTCGCGAGAATTCGGAGGTTTGTAAGTGTTGAGAAAAGTGGAGATAAATCGAGCGCGATGGAAAAGAAGCAACAATGGAAGAAGAATAATTTAAGACTTAGTTTTTCGAAAAGAATGTATGATGAAAGTGTTTTGTCACCACTTTCGTCTCCTATTCCTCCCTCACCACTAGTTCGTTAGGACTTAATTAAAAGGGAAGAATTTAATTTATGTTTTTTATATTTGAAAAATATTTGTAAGAATAAGATTATAGAAGGAAATCTAGGAGGAGTATTTTCAGAAATAGTTGTTAGCGTATGTATTGACAACTGATCTATGTACTTTGACATCATAATTTGTCTATCTAATTAATGAAATGTAAAAGTAAAGTTATGTTATGAGTTATGACTCTTATAGATTCTTTTAATTTCTTGGACTTTCTCGATTTTATTATATTATTTTTGCGGTATTAAATTTCATGTATTTTATTCCCCATATATATGATACTTCTGTATATTTTATTGGGAAAATGAAATACAGTACTTGTTTGTGGGGAATATGGATTCCAAGTGGTCAAGTAGAAATGGATAGTTACATTACATGATTTCATAGATTTTTATATGTATTATATGACTCGAGGGTCTATCAGGAACAACCTGTCTACTTTTAAAAATAGAGGCAAGGCTTTGTACACTTGTGAAATTATACATGATATATATATATATATATATATATATATATATATATATATAACATGGATACTACAATATATCCTCAAATTGGATGTATGTGTATTGAAAAAATAGTGTGGTGTGAGTATTCCTCATTGATTAGAAAAAAAAATGTCCTCTTCAATTATTATATTAACACTAAAGAAAACGGGAAAGTCTCCTTTACATTATTGTATATTTGTATTTATATGTCATGGCTTTAATTAGGAGTTTTGCTTTTCTCTACGTAATTTCTATTTCAACTGCAAATAATTTAAACTATAATGAGTTATTCCGTAGGTTTCTGTTTTGGAAGAAATTATCATTTGGAAATGAGCACACGATAATAATGTCATGTAATCAATTGCAGCCCAATGTCATGACCTGCCAAACTCTAAGTCCGTGACACCAAACACAAAACATTAGTTAGAAATTCACAATCTACATGTTTGCCTAATTAATCCACATCTTGATAATTGATAAGTAGTACTTATCAAACTTTGTTGTTTACTATTTCGAATAATTAACTTGACATATGGATGGAAATTGCAAAACTATTTTAAATAAATCCTGTCAACATCACAATAATGTAGGAACACAAGTTCTCGATCTATTGATTTTGGTGTTTGAGGAAACTATATTTGCGTGGCTTCTTACTTATTTTATGATGTTTGATAGATAAGAAAATTAATATTATCCCAATAGAATTTTATGTAATACATATAGGAAAACAACAATGGGGTGGGGGAATATTGGGTTGGCAAGGGTGGGTTGGTAAAGGGGTGGCGGATGAGAAGATGATGAATTTTGAATGCTACATTACTATTTATGAAACTTGTTTTTCGAATTCATTTCTAGTAGTGTGTGGCATGACTTGGACAAGAGAAATACAAATATTTTAAATTCATACATGCTACATTTTATTTTATTTTAATTTATATAAAAAGAATATCGTACATATTTATTTAAAAATATAGTGATTTTATTACTATTATTAAAATAATTTATTACTATTCAATATTTATAACTTATTTTAAATCATAAGTTTTTGAATTTATTTATTTTTTACTATAGAATTTGATATCCAGTCAAACCGCCACATAAATCGAGCCAATATGTAAATAGAAAATGTTAGACAAAAAAATGGATTTATTGGAAGACAACCTGACATAGGGGTCCAACTGAAAAGGATTAAATTGTCGGACGACTTTCTAATATTTTAGTCAACCCCAAACCCAAAGCCTTTTGACTTCAATAGAGTAATTATATGTAGGGCACTTCTTTATTTTGGGTAAAAAAAAAACACTTAAAAAATGAAAGTAGAGGATTACTGTCCATTTTTTATTGTCATATCTTTCTTTTCTAGAGTCAAACGATAATAACTTTGACTAATATTTTATGATGTATTTTTCATCATATTGATATGCAAAAAAATTGCAATTTATAATACTTTTTGTATAATTTTTGAATATCTAAATTTTTTATTTAAAATATCGAATTAATGTAATCTAATTTAACTTTGAAAATTAGTCAAATTAATTTTCGAAAAACACAATATAACAATTAAACGTGGACATACGGAGTATTAATTAATAAGACTTTTAAGATGAAAATATTGTCTCATGTGAATGATGCTAACGATGTCTCCAACATGGATTTTGCTTCCTTGGCCTTATTTCATTTTAATATTATTATTGAAATGACTAAGGTAAGTAAAAATGATTTTCATATTAAAGTTTGTTTGATTTGAATTCATGTTGTAATTATTTTTCCATTAGAAATCAAATCTAGTTATTGTAACTTTCGCTTAAAAATGAAGAGATCTTATTCATTTTGATGGTAATATATTAGTGTGATATTATTAGCACTCAAAAAAGAGATAAATGTTGTTTTAGTACTTTGAACCTCCAATAAGGAAATTAAATAATTACTGAGTATAAAAGTTTTACCTAATTAATGGTGAGAAAAAGTGAATGGGAGATAATTTTGATGATAATATTACCTTCTTGATGAAGCTTGAGATCACACAAAAGATCAAGAATAGGAAAATGTAAAATAACAACAACAAAAAACGTTGGTGATGGGAGACAAACATGTTTTTATTTAAGAAACTATGAGATAGTATCATTTTTTTTTTTAACAATAAAATGCATGAATCACGACACATATTATATAATCACACGAAAAGTGAAGGGAATAATAGCTACAGAAAACATGAGTTTCATATCATTAATTGACATTTTTTTCAAATTCATTTAATTTGCACGTACTATAGATTTTGACTTAGGTTTATATAACGTAGAATACACGTGGAATGTATTCCAAATTATTGACTAAAAGTATATATACGGTGTAGAGATTATGACTCAAACGACTGAGAACTCCATGGCAGGAGACTCTGAGCTTGCATATGAATCTGGACGAGAATGGAGGAAAAGAGGAAACTGAATTGTGAAATTGCAAACTAATTATCATTGAGCTGAAAGTCACTATTTATACACATACAACTAACTACCTGAATGAACAAATTAATAGAAATATCAACTGCCTAACTAACTAACAAATGAATTAATTTATTATAATTTCAACACCCCCCCTCAAGTTGATGGGGAGGTAGTCAACAACAACTTGCGTAAAATGTTAGAGTGATTAGGTCCACTCAAAGCCTTGGTCAAGATATCTGCCAATTGCTCTATAGTAGGAACATGATGAAGAACAAATAGACCTTCTTGTAGCTTAGCTCGAACAAAATGGCAGTCAACTTCGATATGTTTCGTACGCTTATGAAACACAGGATTCTTTCAATATGAATTGATGCTTGGTTGTCACAAAAAAACTGATATAGGTAGGTTGCAAGGCTCAGTCAGTTCTTCTAACAATCTTTCTAGCCAAACTAATTCCCCAACCATTTTCCTCACTGCTCTATACTCGGCCTCTGCTGAAGATAGAGACACTGTTGTCTGCTTCTTTGATTTCCAATCAATAGGACCGTCTCCCAAGAACACAATGTAGCCACTCACTGACTTTCTAGAATCAGAACATGCTGCCCAATCTGAGTCACAATAGGCAGTAATAGTGCAATATGTGTGTTTGGTCATAAAAATGCCTTGGGCTAAATCATTTTTCAGATATCTTAATACATGAAATGCTGCCTTGAGATGTGGTTCTCGTGGTGCCTGTAAGAATTGGCTAAGGTGTTGAACACTGTATGTAATGTCCAGCCTTGTATTTGTGAGGAAATTTAACTTCCCCACAAGTTTTCTGTAGTAAATTGGATTAGATAGAAGGATCAAATGGTGATGTTGTTGCACCACAGTCCAAACAATCAAATTCTTTAATCAAATTTGCAGTAAACTTTTTCTGAGAAGTCAATACACCATCATCTTTGTACAAAATTTCTAAGCCTAGGAAATAATGAAGCCTTCCCAGGTCCTTGATCTTAAACTGAACATGCAAATGTGCTTTCAAAGATTCCATCTCTGCTGAATCTGTTCCTGTCAAGATTATATCATCCACATATACTGCTACAAAAATTATAGATATGCCTACCTTTTTATTAAAGAGGGAGTAATCACTATTAGAATGTAAGTACCCTCTTGAGTAAAAAGTTGCAGCCAGTTTTTCATACCACTGTCTGCTTGCCTGCTTCAGTCCATACAAGGACTTCCTTAACTTGCATACCATTCTGTTATCATCAATAAGCAACCCCTGTGGAAGTTTCATGTATACCTCCTCATGAAGATCACCATGAAGGAAATCATTATTGACATCTAGTTGATATAGGTTCCATCTTTTCTTAACAGCTAGTCCAATCAATGTTCTCACAGTAGTCATCTTCACTACAGGTGAGAATGTTTCATTTTAATCAATCCCAGCCTGTTGTGTGTAGCCTTTGACAACAAGCCTAGCTTTGAACCTTTCCACTAATCCATCAGCCTTATGTTTGATTTTATATACCCACCTGCAACCTATTACTTTCTTCCTGCAGGCAAATATACTAAATCCCAAGTATCGTTAGCAGACAAGGCCTCAAATTCCAAAGTCATGGCTGTTTGCCATGCTGGTTCCAAGGATGCCTCCTCATAAGAAGATGACTTTATATCATGAGAAATATGTTTCATTAACTGCTGACTATGGAAGCAAAAGAAGGTTAAGGAAACATATTGGATGTCAGTACTGGGAGAAACATGATTTGAATTTGAAGAGGTGAGGATGGTAATGTGTAGGTGTATTCTCTAAGATAACTTGGAATAGTGTGAGTTCTAGTTGATCTTCTAAGTGCTGGTTCATTGTTGGTCACAATTGGGATAGAAACATTGTGGTTAGGTGAGGTTGTGATTGGTATGGTTTGTGCATCATGGTTGGTAGTATCTGTATCCATCATAGAGGTTGGGGTGACAAGATCATTAAGACAGGTGACTTTTTTGGCAATATTAATGTCCATCATGTAAGCATCAAAAGTATTGATTGAAGAGTTCAATATTTCAGAATTAGTTAGCTTTTGCAATGCAGAAGTGAAACTAGAATCACGAAATATAGTAGCAAAAGGAAAAACATTCTCATAAAACATAACATCTCTGGAAATATGTATCCTTTTGGTCTCCAAGTTTAGGACCATATAACCCTTTGTATTGAAAGGATATCCAACAAAGACATGAGGTGTGGA